CCGCAGTCACTATAAATCTCAAATGGTTTCCCTCTTCTTGCAATAAATCGTTTCAATGCACTTAAAAAAATGCCTTTGTTGACAAATCTTCTACCACTTCAAGATGTACTGCCTTGATTACAAAACACACAAATAAGCATACGTAATATTTAAATGATTTTTGTCCACGTCCTGCACGATGTTTAATCATGAACGGTCCAGAAAAATCTATTCCAGTTCGATGAAATGGTCGCGATTGTGTTACTCTAGATTCCGGTAGATCAGCCATTATTTGACTTGCAGTTTTAGCTCTAAGTTTGCAACACGTGATACAAGATCTTACTACTTTTCGGATAGCAGATCTAGCAGCTATGATCCAAAATTGCTGTCTAATTAAAGATAGAAGAAGTTCCGGTGCTGCATGCAGATATTTGACATGAAAGTGTCTAATTATGATTTCTGTCAGATTGTGTTTTGAAGGTAATAAGATTGGATGTTTTTCATTTTCTGATAGTTGCGCATTTTTCAGTCTTCCTCCTACACGTAACACTTTGTTGTCATCTAAAATTGGACACAAGCTAAGGAGGTTGCTGTTTGTAGGTAAGTCCTTTCCCAACTCCAAACATTGAATTTCTTTAAAAAAGTGAAATCGCTGTATTATTATTATTCGGACAATACAGAAAGTTGCAGCTCGAATTTCATTACTAGATAAAAAAGACGTATTTCTTTCTAGATATGCTACTTTAGAATTCGATATGAATCTTAATATCCAAGCAAATATGCGTTGTAAACTTTGGAAATGAAGATATATTTGATATAATAGCAAGTTCCTGTACAGGTTCAGAAACTACAAATGAGACTGTTTTACGTGCATCTGGTAATGCCTCTTCATCTATAAGAATATTTTTAGACAAGGCAATCTCACTGCACTTTAACCAAGAAGGACCATTCCACCACAATTGATGAGATAATAGTTCTGCAGGAAATAACCCACGTGAAGCACAATCAGCTGGATTTTCCTTTCCATCAACATGACTCCAGTTCTCAGGTGGTAAGATGGATTGTATTTCAGAAACTCTATTGGATACGAATACTTGCCATTTTTTAGGATCTGACCTTAGCCATGACAACACGATTTGTGAATCACTCCAAGCTTGCACTAAATCAAAATTTATAACTAATAATGCAGCTTTTACAGACTGAATCAAGCGTGCCAATAACACTGCTGCACATAATTCCAGTCTTGGAATCGTAATAGATTTTAATGGTGCTACACGAGTTTTAGCTGTTACGAGTTTAACATTAATGTCAGAGTTATTGCAAGTTTTGATATAAATAACTGCTGCATAACCTCTTTCAGACGCATCACAAAATCCGTGAAGTTCACATCGAAAATAATCAGGTAGCAGAATTTTCCTAGGTATATTTATAGAATTCAAAAGTTTAACTTCTCTACATAGATTTCTCCAATTTCGATCAATCTCTTCTGTTACAGGATCATCCCATGATAATTGTAATTTCCACAATTGCTGAAGGATCATTTTAGCGAGAATTACAAACGGAGCTATCCACCCCAATGGATCGAATAGTTTTGCTACGAATGACAAAATAATTCTTTTAGTAGTCGGAACACTTTGATACTCTATTACACCGACACATTACATTTGAATTCATCATTGTCCGGATGCCATTCCAATCCCAGAACTTTCAATGGTTTGTCTTCTATTACACGATGAATATTGTCACTATCTGTGTTTGTTAAGCCAGAGGTTTTTAACATTTTTAACAATGACGGTTCACTTGTCGACCATTTGTGAAGCTCAAAGCCACCACTTTTTAGCAGATGTTGCAATTCGTCTATCAATGCAATACCTTCCGAACTATCTTTTACACCAGTTAACATATCATCAACATAAAAATCTCTTAAAACTATATTCTTTGCCTTTGGAAAGTTCAATCCTTCATCAATCGCTAACTGACTCAAAACTTTGGTTGCAAGATATGGAGCAGCTGCAGTTCCATATGTAACTGTTTTCAAACGACAAACTTGTATTTGTTTATACGGGCTATCTCTCCATAATATTCTCTGAAAATCTCTATCTTTTTCATGAACCTTTATCTGTCTGTACATCATTTTAATATCAGCGGTTATTGCAATGTTATGAAGTCTAAATCTTAGTAAAATACAAATTAAGTCATCTTGTATTTTTGGGCCTATCATTAGTGTATCATTTAAAGAAACACCTGTGGTTGTTTTAGCGCTCGCATCGAAAACAACTCTCAATTTTGTTGTTAAGCTAGAGTCCTTCAACACGAAGTGATGTGGGATATAATAGTGTTTTTTCTCTAATTCATAATCTGTGTCTGGCACTAATTCTACGTGTTCTAGTGAAAAGTACTCTTTCATAAACTGAATATACTGGTTGTAAATTTCTTTCATAGATAACAGTCTCTTCTCCAAGTATTGAAATCTTCTGTACGCCATTTCACGGGAGTCACCTAGAATATCTCTATTATGTTTGAATGGTAATGCAACTGAATAACGACCTGATGTGTGTCTCTAAAATGCGAGTTTTTAAAATGTTCTTCACAAAGTTTTTCTTCATTTGTTAAAGGTTGTACATTTGGAAACTTTTCTAACTCCCAGAAAGAATTTACTAACTCATCTGTGTTTGTATTCAAATGATTTACATATACTGGCTCAAAATTTGTAGATTCAAAATTTGTAGTACCCGAAATTATCCATCCCAACCTCGAATTTAGAGCAAATGGTAGATCAGGACCACGTTTGACAATTTCTCCCGTCATTAAATGCAGAAATACATTTACTCCAAATAAAATGTCAACTGGTTGTGACTTGTAAAATAATGGATCAGCTAATTGTAAATCACTGAAGTTATCGAAGATGATTGATGGCAAAGATACATAGGGAATGTTATCTGTCACCTTGTCCAGTACAAACGCTGATGTTGATACACGAATATCACTTTTAAAATGAGAAGTGAATACTAAATCGACTTCCCCATTACTTATAGTATTAAATTCTCCTAGACATGATACAGAAATGGAATTATCTTTCACTCGTAATCCTAATTTCTTCACACAATCCCTTGAAATAAAGACAAAAACGGCCATTCTCAGCTTCACAACCAATTCTTCAACATAAAACTTGTACTTATAAGAAATATTCTATGTTGACATTCAGGACAATTTCGTCTTTTTAGAGATTCAAAAAAGTATTGCTACTAATGCTGTTGATCACTAGAACCACATTTAGAATGTTTTTCTTTTACGGAGGTTGTAATAATCCATCAAGCAAAAATCATTTATTTCGCTTCCCGAGAAAAACCAGTCTTTCTGTTTATCTAAACTAATAAAATGTGGTACTGTCAGAAAAGTATTTTTAAGATGCTATATATATTTTTCTTGCTTTCTCTGTTCGTTTTTTTCAGTCAGTCCTCAAAATTAATCTCTGTTTCTTTCAACTGAACCGAGAAAAACCGCTAATTTTGACGATTTTTCTAAAAGTATTTTTTAGCCTGTGATTTAATTTAGTGTTTTATCTTTCAAAGACTACGCTCTGCTGATTGAATAGAACTATTTTGCTGCATTCTGAGGTGGTAAATTTCTTAGTGTATTAATTCTTCTATATACTATAGGGTCAGATATTGTGAATTTACGAGTCTGAATTATTCAAAATTTCAAAGATATAGAGTTAAACAAGAGCTTAAAATGTTGAAATAGAAAATTTTCAACCCCACGGTAAATTCTTATTGACTTGGCCCTTTTCTGACCGCTAAGAAGAGAAATATTTATGAACCTTCAGTTAGAGACACAAAAAAATTTCCCTAAGATCGAATTCGGTAAATAAGTAGATGAGGAAGTCACACAAATGTTGCGTAACCGTGGAATTAGCTGAATACGTTACACATTCCTCACACACAAGTCCTGTGACATTGGGGAGGGGGCAGTACATCCAGCTAACAACTGAAAGGTCTCAAGCTCAGGGCTCAGATTCCGGCAAGAGCACGATTAATTTTTTAAGACTCGCGCGAGAAATTAACTAGTAACTGTACAGTGACATCTGATCAAAAATGTAATGGATGATTTTACCACTGAAGCTCGTCTTCTCATCAGAATCACCCTTTAAATATGGTGGAAATCAGTTTAAATATTAAAGGGATGTGACCTTGTAGTATAGTGGTCATGTAACTAGTTACTGGAAAAACCTGGATTTAGTTTATTGTAGTTTTAAATAGATTGTAATAATTTTCATGTTCTAACACTGTGTCAGAAAAATCAATAAAGCTTCAATTAGTAACCAATTTTATCAAATTGTAAAAGGAACATGCCTATGTAAAATTTAAAATTAGGCCAAAAAACAAACTTAAGGTGTCATTCAAGGCAATTTGAAAAAGGCATTAGGCATTTTATTCCCCTAAAGAATGTGACTGATCATCCTGGATAGTGATAGAGCTTTGTTCACAATCTACACTTGTAGAGACATTAGGATATTTTAGAAACCAGGAGAATCGAAAAATTAGGAACGCCTTCGCCGGGAATCTAACCGCGAACCTCTTAATCACGCGCTGAGCGTCCAGACCACTACACCACGAAGGCTCGCTGAGAAGGCGGGAGAAATACCTTATACACTAATCTAATTTTGCTATTTTGCCTAAATAATCACCGGTTTGCTAATAGGGATCTTTAATATCTCAAACCATCACATGCTCTAAAAAATTTTCTACATTTTATTTATTTTTTCTTTAATATCAAGATAGTTTTTTTGGCATAGCATTCTCATGCTTCATTTATATAAACTATGGCAGTTTTATAGAAGAGCAAATAAAAATGTTATTCATTGTTAAAGTGCTAAAAATCGTGTATTACAAATAGGTAAAGAACAGTATTTTAGCATTGTGTCCATATAGACAATTTTGATATCTTTTCTGAAGTTTTTTTTTTTTTTTTTTTTTTTTTTCCTTCCAAAAAGTGTATGATTATATTTATATTCTTTCAAGGTGCCCTCAGCGGGAGCTTTACCCAGCGGTAGTCCATCCGTTAAGTCAAGCCCTCAGTCGTCTGATCGTCCGTCGGACAGCCCTAGTGCCCCATCCAACCATCAGTTCCCGAAAGGACAAGAATTGACTAGTAGCGGAGTCACCCCTGCAGTCGCACAGTCTTCGAACCTAACATCCAATCCTTTGCTCGATACCATTGGTGCTCTCGCAACTTCCAATCCCGATTCTGATGATTCGGACTTAGACATTGTATATCAACAGCTTAGGTATCGAGGAAGGCATCGTAGGCCTGAACAAGTGCGAATTCGAACTCATCGGACGCATAGCCATCAGCATCAACCAGTAAGTAAGCTCGCTAAATATTTTAGAAAGTTTAATTACCGTTCTAATTTTAGTTATGTAATATTGATTAGGGACATCAGATGGGAAATATTACTATCATATTATTGCTTCTTAGAAATTCTAATTCCTTAGAAAGATTGCATTCAATATATTATATGAAGTGTCCGTTTCTGTAGAAGAAAGAACATATATTCCGAATGTTTGATTTTCAGAAGAGCTACATTTTTAATGGTTGCTCCCTTGGAAAAGTGTTGACGACTGAAAAAGAGCAACATTCATAAAGATTTAAGGCAGCGTGTAGATAATAAAGTAGAATTTTCATTTCCTTTGCTAATCATAAAAGCAAACTATATCGTCTGTGTATTTCGTGTGTATTGTGTGTGTGTGTGTGTGCCTTGGCATAAAGGTGCCCAAATGTTTTTGAAGATTGCTGATTTCAAGATAGAATCTGATCTTCATAAGGATGAAATACCTTTATGCTAGATCACTCTTATGAACCTTTCTGTCTTTCCGAACAGCGATCCACTTGCATACAGGTGCTGGGACCGTTATGAAGCAATCTTCAAAACTGTCTGAACGAAATTTAGTAAACTCTGAAGATTCTTCCCCCTTATGTTCAACAGCCGGACTTTAGCTGGAAAGCTTTTATTTGCGAATGCCTGAATCCATTCGTCATTTGGCTGTCCGATCATAGAGGATTTTATGAAAGGCTGACTAGCATACATCCGATAATTGTAAACCAATATAGGAAAGGAAGAGAGACGTACATATAAGCAGTTATATCTGTAGACAAATATATAAGCATGTGTAATTTATGCTGGAGTTGAATCCACACATTTGGTGTCAGCAGTTTGCCTTTGCTAACCATTATTACTGTTCCAGAAGGCAGTTCTTTTCCTCAGATTGATAACTAAAATTCCATAATTTAAATCTTTAAAAGGAATAAAGTTAGAATGCTTCTTGAGTTCTAGTAATTGTGCGTTAATTTGCACATGCAACACAGAACAAATACCCTCTTCTACATGAATAATTGCCGCACGTCGATAGTTGCTAGTTCATATAAGGCTTTCTAACGTCGTTGGGTAGCGGAGCTCGAAGAAATCTTAGATTGGGGTTAGTAACATCAGAAAAATAACTTGAATAATTTCTTCATCTGACTTCTTGCTGTACAACGAATTAAAAATTTGAACTTTTCGTAAGATAAAATCTGTCAGATCCTCGACTTTAAATTGAAATTGAATAAACAGCTCCAATTCCAGCTTAGTTTATACTTCACAATCGGGAATGCTTTAATAAGAGCATTTTTAAAATCCTAAAATGTGTAGGTGTCGCTTCCTGGCTCACTTAACACAAAATTTCCAATGCATTTGTAGAAGTGAGGCTTGATATCTAAGTGCAACAGTAGCGATAGTGACTTTTAATGCCCCTGACACTGGATTCAGTGGGAAGCGGGAATTTAATTGTTCGAAAAAGTTCGTTAATGAGCGTTACTCATCAAATGTGACTGCCGGTTTCATATTAACCCTTATATTTCGATAATAAATCCAAATCCATCCATGGGACTAACTGCAGTCGGCAAAACTTGCGACGTCGAGGGGGGCCAAACTAAATCTTGGAAATGGTGCTGTTGCGCAGCGCGTAACTTTCCAGAAAATTCCAATTTGAGGCCCCAAAACCTCCAGGTTTTTAATTTTTCAAGGTTGGCAGCTCTACATTAGGATCTGGGGTTTTATTTGTATAGTAAAAAATGTATGTGTTATCAGATGGAAAACGGGGTAAATATTCTTCCATTTTAATTTTAATTTATGTGTTAATACATTTAACACCGTAAGTAAAAATGTCAGTTGGTCTGGTTTGCTTATTATTATTATTACATGCTTTTGGACTGTATGACAATAAGTATGCCCTAATTTAAGTAAAAAAGTATAGATTGAGAGATAAAATTTTGCATTTTAGGTTGCTAGCAGTGACCCAGAATCAATTGGTTATGCAGGATCCAACTCAATAGATAGCGGCTATAAAAGTCTTTGCGCTACTCCTGAAGTTTCGGACAGTCTTAGCGCTCCTGAAGTCCGAAGAAGCGCCTCTGACGTTAGTGCATCGGATTCCTCAACGACTTCTGGTCGTCCTCGAAGCTTGGATGGGCAAGATGGAAAAACATCTAAAATTAAAATGGGGACCCGCTCCATCGCTGGAAAGATAAAAGCGGTAGATAGGTCGCCAAGGCAGCCCCATACCACCTCTGCCATAAATGATGTTACTTTGGACCATCTTATGTATCTTAGACAATCTCTCAGAAAAGGTATCTCCTTGCAAAACAATTATCATCGCAAAATAACTTCGATGACTCTGTAGAGTCTTATAATTTATGTAGCTTTGAAAATATGAGTGCTATATGTCCATGTTTCTTTCTAGATCGCGTAGACGCACAAAGGTCTCCTAATGATTCCATACCTTCCTCTGTCACTACCAGCACATTTCGAGACAGTGATCTGTCTCCACGACCCATTACTGATGAGGAATGGAGAGATCAGTGCCGACCCTATCCATTTCGTACTGCCAGCAGCTCATCTTCACATTCTGCATTTACGGGCAGGGACGGTCGAAGTTCCAGAGGAAGCTCCAGGAGCGAAGAAATAGACCAAGAAGGGGGTGGTGAAAGTTCTTCGGATTTCTTATTAAGTGGCGTGGAATACTATGATTTAGAGAGCATTCAGGAATTCCCACCAAGTAACAACTATGTTACCATGTTGGAAGAGAAGACACGTTGTGCCAGATTTCAACTTGTTTCAGGTGAATTTATATTTCATTGCGTATACGTTTTGTTTACTTTATGTTCAGATATGTTTAGATAAACTATATTCAATGTGCATCTTGCACCAAAGAAAAGGGGGAACAGTTATATACCTACCGTTCTAATTGACTGATTGACGGAATTTAACTTGCGTTTTTCACGTCTCGAAAGCGCGACTTGGGATATATAGCATTGTTCTAACATCGTTAATTTTACACAAAATCGGATATTTTCTGAAATGACACGCCGATTTGTTTTCCATATTTCGATTCTACGTCTCAGTTTCTGCCGAAATATTAAATTTTGTAAACCTTGGCAAGAAACTTACCGAGCAATTTAAAAATTTATCTTGGCGCCCTTTTTTCAGTTTGGGCCAAGAATAAATTCCCTTGGCGGAATTCTTAATTTATGTTAACTATTTTCCTTACTTTTTCGTTGTGCATGAGCGGAAAAAAAGGGTGCATCTTTCATTCATTCAAATAATTTTAAAGTGCGTAAATCATATTTAACGTTACTATTATAATAAGTATGTCAAATTTCAGAGCGCACCAATATATAAATTCACGTATATCTTGCAAAGTTTTGAATAAAATACTCTAATTTTTTGCTGGTATGCAAAGAAATACACCTACTTTTAGTGATGGTATAAATTTTATAATTCAAAAACTGTTTTCCCAAAAATTTACAAACATTACTAAAACATACAAATTTTAAAACAAGTCAGAAAAATAGCTGCGAATTTTATTTGGATTGAACCTAAATTTCGATCTGTGAAAGAAGGAATCAAGTAAGTTTAATAAAAAAAAAGATATATTAATAAATTTATACCTTCTTTAATCGACATACAGGAGCTAAAATTTTGAGAGCTAATTTTTTTAAAAATTACTCTGTGATTTTCTAAACTTGGCACTTTAGCATTATTTGACTCGTATAATCGAAATATGGAAAAATCGGTATGTTATTTCAAAAAAGTCCAACTTTGTGTCAGAATACCTATGTTAGAATAATGCTATTAATAAATCTAATGTATGTCCTAAGTCGCTCTTTCGAGACAAAAAAAAGTCGACAGTGCGTCTTTCGAAAGTGGCGCACACACACAAAAAACAAAAACAAAACAAAACTGTGTAGAGGGAGTTATTTTGAACGAATAAAAAGTGGACATTTTTAGATGAAGCAAATGCAAATCAGTAAAGTCATCTAAAATGTTTCTTATTCGGAAAGCGTTAACAGATTTTCAAACGTTTCCATCGCACATATTGCTGATCATGATAGAAAAATTGTTTATCCAGCTCATTAACGTGGAGAGCGAATTCTGTGAATAGAAAGGACTTATCTTTGTGTTAGATAAGAGAATGACTTAATTATAGATCATCTGTAAGTAATATAATTAGTTCCAAGGAAAAGATTCAGAACCCAGACGAGCGCCAGATCGTAAATATGTTTTTAGAAGACTAGAAAACAGTAGCAATCGAGCAAGTGCTGTGGAAAGAAAACATTTTCTACATATATTTTTTTCTTATTCTTTTCCACACAATAGACTAATTAAATTTAGCTATAAAAAAACAGGCTTACTTAGCACAACCGGTAGGAAAGTAGTATTATTCAGAAATGAGGCAAGTTTGCTTTGCACTCAGAGTCCTATGACATCATAATTTGAATAGGATCTAGTTTTTCCTTAAGTTTTACAGGGCAGTATAGCTTTCTTTCATTTATATATGAAGTATAATGAAAAACATTTGATGTATAAGACAGAATACAGGCTAATGAAGTTAGGCATGTCTTTAATAGTACAATAAATAGTTTGATAATAGTCATTTTATTAATGATAGTAGAAATTAAAGGACTGTTTTTTAAATTGCTTTCTTAAAAATATAGACTTTTAACAAGCATCCACATTCATAAATCATCCTTAAACTGAAGTTCATTCAGTGTTTAGTATTAAGAGCAAAAATAGAGGTAATTTGCTTCGAGGGTGTCTGTCACGTTGCAACTAATCCGGTGTATATCCGGACAAGATCACGCCTTCTGAGTGGTTCCTTCTTTCTCTCTTGTTAAAGAATTACTATTTTATCATTTTTAGCCTTTGCCATTGTGCAATTCCTAAACTTAGTATTCAACAAAGTTAGATATCTTAATATTGTTGCGTTTCTTTCTTCTGACACCAGCTGTTACGTTATTTTCTTCCTTCACGTTCGTACGGGGTTCGTGTCAATTTGGAGTGAATAACGACGACACTTGATGAAGTATCGAAACACACATTATTTACCAATATTTATCAGGACAGCTCCAAAATACGTTTTACAGTCGTCGATGAACTACTAAACGCGCTGACACGATCAGCGACACAGCCTCTAGGTTATCAGGCTATCACGGTAGAGACAGTTTCACGGCAAAGCACTAGAGTACAGCTCCCTACTCTGCTTGGTTATTCTCGGAACTCCACGTACTCTCGAGACTCTCCACGCTACAACTCGCGATCCACTCCACGACACACAGAGCACAGCTGCCGACTCTTCGGTTCAGTCGTTCCCGGAGCTCAACACACTCTCTCGACGATGCACTAACTGCGATACACTACAAGACTCTTTCGGTGCATTCGACGACCCACTCGGCACTCGCTGCCCATTTGTCAACTCGGTCGACTCCGCAGGCATTGACTCGCTAAACGAGATGCGGACTCGATACTAACTTAACTCTCCGCGTACCAGCAGGGTTTATATAGCTTTTGGATGGTGTTCGAGAACATTCTGGGCTAAACCGGTAAGAATTCGTTCCAGAAGGTTCTCCATCCGTCCATGGCATATCGCCAGTTTCGTCGCCAAATGGGCGATTTCTCGCCAAACGTGGCAACCCTACCTTATCATGCCATCTTAAAGCAACCCTAAAACTTTATTCACCTATGCATCCAGGAAATACTGCATACACTATACACATGCGGAAAATCACGAAAACACCCATGCAGCCAGCTTGCTCACCAGGATTTGAAAGTTAGTCCGAACTACCAGTGTTCAGCGGCAAATTGAATCAATATGCAATTAATATGCATTAATGCAATTAATAATTCATAATTATTTATAATAAGAAAAGTTTCCATATACCATCTCCAAGGAACACATATTCAATTTAAAACCCTGAACGAAAAAAAATGTTTAGTCAAAATTTAAGTTAGTATTTTAAATAGTAATTTCAGCTTCTTGTTTAAATGGCCGCATAGAAAATCTTTAATCTAGAAAAAGAGAAAAAAAAAAAAAAAAAAAAATCAAAAGTAAATTTCAAATATTGAAAAAAAAAGTAGCTATTGTCATTGACTGCAGTTTAATCCGCTTATCAATGGGCTAAACCAATCTACAATCAATTAACAACAACTAAATGAAGAGAGTGTTTCTATTTTATCACTCACAAAATTGAAAATGTGTAAAATGTGAATGCAATTTTCGTATTTATATATATATACTGTGCGTGTTGAAAGTTGGAAGGAAAGCACAGAAATCGAATATAAAAGAATTATTGGTTACAGCAAAACACGATGGCTAGCTCTTTTACCAGCCGTAGAAAATATTTTTAAAATATACGAACCATTAAATTATACTTTTTATCACAAGATATATGTGTAAGAATATTGCAGCTCTTTTTTGAAAATGACACATCACAAATTTGGCTTCAGTTCATCCACAACCAAGCTACATTATTTCACAATGCTGTGAAAATTATGGAAGAGGACAAAATTTCAATTACGAATCAATCAAATTATTAATCAATCAAATATAATCAAATTATTTCAATTATGTATCAAATGAAATCAATAATTTAAAAACAAAATTTCGAGAAAGAATTGATAATGATTACGTTCCTTTAGTTATTCGAAAGGACATCACTAGGTAACAACGTGCCATTAAACGACCGGATTTTCTGAAAGAAGTCAGAAATTTTTATAATAACTGCTTGGATTATCTTAAAAAACAGACAGTTCAATTTGAGAATATTACAAATTTTCATTGGGTGACATTAAAAAAGGGAGATTTTATGAGAATATGTGGAGAAATCTTTTTAATGTATTAGTAACCATTTTTCGAAAAATAGTATTTGCGAAAATGATCTTTTTTATGAGGTGTCATTGGTAAAAAGATACGTTACTGAAGAAAAAAATTAAATGTTGGTTGTGTGCAAATGTGGAAACAGAGAAAAAATGGACGGAGTTAATCCTTCATTTTAAACAGAATAATATTCCTTATGAAAATATTATGAAAATTGTAGAACACGCGCTCTCCCTTCCAGGAACAAATGCAGCAACAGAACGTGTTTTTCCTAGTATCAATGAAATATGGACAATTGGAAAAACGCAGTTGAACATTAAAACTTTAAAATCTATATTAAGCCTAAAATATAATTTGACCAATTCATGTGAAAAATTTCAGGACATTTTTAATAAATGATCCGAATCTATTGAAAAGTATCCACTCGCATAAAAAATATAATCGTGAAAAAAAATCATAATTTTTTGAATAAAATTTTAAATTAATTAAAAAACATAATATTCAAATGATTGTTTTTACCAATATTTTTATAGTTGCCAATAGTTAATAATAAATATATTTTTGTATATTTATAGACAAGTATATGAATGCAAACAATAAAATATATTTTTTTGAATTATTGGTCTGCTTTCATAACTAAATTACAATTTTCATTTCATTCCATTCGTCTCGCTTTGTCTGAATGAAAATGTGGTCACTTTAGTTATGAATGAAACCTGAGATCATATACCACATTTTCTTACCAGATAATAACAGTTTATAGAGATTTAAAGATCTGACTTTCTACCAGAAGTAAACATGTTATTCGTTAATGTCTCCGCGCCGACGTCAGGTTGGCGAGGCTGGTACATCAAGGATGGGATTTTCATAGATTCAGAAGGGAATGCTGTCAGCCTTTTATTTACCTGTTGAGTATTTTATTTTAGTTTATAAATATAAAAAAAACTTTCATTTAAGGTTTGATATTTATTATTATTTATCGTGTATAATTTATAAAACACTTAAAAAACAGTCTAAATTTAAGTAAATGTATATTTTTTTTTTTTCGATTTTTGGAAAGAAGAGAGTAATGGTGAAAGGGCTGCATGGGGCGAAAAAGCTCGAAAACCGTTGCGTTACGAGATGTGAAAAGATATGCTTTGGCATTACAGACGCAGTAACTTGTTCGATAATGGCTCCACTTACATTGCAAAAGCCATAACTTCACGACCAGTTTTAGATTTTAGCGATCTGCACTGTGTCTGTCATCAAAGCCTCTAGATTTCAAGGGGCTGACGAACCAATGATTCTGGAGCTCTCTTAATATTGTGTTGAACTGTAACAAAGCGGAGTGCGTAAAATATAAATGTGAGGACCATAATTCTACTTAACGTTCTAAATAATTGCTTTTGTGCATTCAAATATTGATTATTAATTTGTTTTTGTGGATTGTTGTTAGTATTTCTAGCAGATTTATTGTAAACATATTTTAGTTCAATATGCAGCCTATAGTTTACTTGATATCGAGAGGCGTTTGGTGACAGATTTAGTGCGGATCATTAAAATCTTCTTACAGTGGTCGTGAATTTTTAGCTTTTGTAACACCAAGTAAAAACATCATCGAACAAGTTGCTTCCTAATGTCAAAGCATATCTCCTTACATCTCGGAACAGCTCGACAGACTTATGCCAGCGAAAGGACAGTCACAGTGTCATTGGGGGAGAGAAGTCTTCAATTTCATGAACTTCATGATTCAAACATCTGAAATCGTACGTGATATCGTACGTGCATTATCACTTACCTTTTTTTTTTTTTTTTTTTTTCTCTCGTTTTCGTCTTTATAGCATTTACTGCTGCGCATAGAGAACGTCCTATATTTATCACTACAACAATAATGGCAGCTTCAGAGATTTTCATCTGTTATTTAGTTTTGCATTAATTTGCATAAGAAGAATTTTAGTCCTGAAACAAACGAAGTATATATTTTTGTCCATGCGTAATTCTAAAATTTGTAATATAGTTCTTAAAGTAATTTGAAAATTTTTTTAATTATATATATAGAACAATGAAAAAATGTCAGAATAATATTTACTATTGTAGACATTAATAATACTTTATCTTCGAATTCCCCCATTATTTTTTGGTGTCTTATATTTATGTGTCAAACTGTAGGATCGCTCTTGATTAATTATATTAACTCTGTCTGTATTTTCCATAGTCTATCAGAGTAACTACTTCGGAGTTAAAATTTTGAAATATTTCTCGAGATTTTAAGATATGTATACGATATACATATAAAATATTAAACATGTTTCCACTTGTAACATATGCATTGCAATATATTTGAAACTCAATTTTTTACTTCTAGCTTCCAAATGTCCAGAGCCATTTAGCGAAAGGCAACTCACTTCCTTGTACAGAAAAAGAAGTGAATCTTCCCAGTCTGTTGATGGTGGCCTTGGCAGAAGTCAACATCAACAAATATATGGTGCCACGGGCCATCCACTGAGGGCGCCAAGGAGTCCTGCCAAAGTGATGTCGCGTCACCATAAGCCACATCATGCGACAGATTCCAAACTTACGGAAGCTGCCATTCGGGTGCTGGAAATGATAGAGGACTTTCGGATGGAGGAAGCCATGTCCCGCTCTGGAAGAATGCTTCCATATCAGGCGACTGGAGATCATCATCAGCCGATAATGCCCACTGCATCAGGTGCTACTAGTAACTACCCGTCCTCTGCTATCCCTCACCAGGCATTTCTTCCGAGATATAGGAAATCTCCAGGTCTGAGAGCAGGTGTCCGACCAGCTTCAACGGGATCTCTCCTAGAACAAGAAATAGACGCGCGTAGTGTGGCTTCTTCATCCTCATACGCTGCCTCCGCAGAGCATCACGTTTATGAGGAAATCATGTACGATTTGGTCTGTGAGAGAGCAGCCTCTGCGTCTGATAGGTCTATGCCCCCTCCTATACCGCCAGAGAGAGGTAGGATGGTAAGAAGCCGTTTGCTGCCCGTTCCCCCGCATATTGCAACGCCTCATCATCAACCACCATTTCCAGTGGATCCACGGAGAATCATGGTGCGCAGCCACAAACACAGGAGCAGCAATTTGTACTCCATGCTTTCTAGCGCCCGCGGACATAATAATGTGGATAGGTATTTAGAAATGGAATGGCGTCTGGCGCCGGATAGGAGAGACAATTTACCGCCAGATTTTCCTGTGTAATATCGATTGTTTTTTGAAGAAACTCAGGATTCATATTGTTGCGATGAGTCAATACCCGCTGGTCGGTTGAAGCTTATCTCCAAAAAACGAGTCATTATACATTTTCTGAGAGTCAAATTTTTACTGCTGAAACCACATTTAAGCGACAAGTTATTTGTCATATTTAAAAGAGTGAAATATCTCCCATTGGACAGTAAGTTCGCTGTGTGTTATTGTTCTCATTTAAAATGGATCCCTATACTCTGTTGACGTTAGATTGCTAAAAGCAAAAGTGTTGTACAGTAATTTTGTCAAAATGATTATAATTAGTAAATAGCTTGAACTAATGCAAAATTACCAGTAGTAAATATATATTATATAATTTATGCAACAGTATTTAATAAATGAATTGAAGAGACATTTTTCATGCAAACTGTTGCGAAGTCTCTCACAAAATAATTACCTTTTTAATGGAAATTTACTCTAAATTTCATAAGACCGTGGAATATATTTATTTTATTTATAGTTAAGCAAATCTTTCTATTTAGATGCATAAATTGCTATAAAATATATCAACCGTTTTATTAACACGTTCAAGAGATTTCTTTTTATTTTTCCTCAGAATTACTCAAAACTTTTATATTAAAATTCACGTATAAGTGTTTTTATGTTAAAGATGTTTTCATTTAACATCATTTGGGATTTGTAAATGTTATGAAATAAATTAACTATCTTACGAGTCTTAATGCTAAAGGTTTGAAGATTTACCAAGTTATTCATTTGTAAAATGATTTAAATATTTTGACTGGATTTAAAAAAAAAACTGAAAAAAATGACATCAAAATATTTGATGTCTTCATTAAATATTTTGATAAAATCAAAATATTTGATATCGATTTTTTATTTCGATATGTGAGTAAAGTCTGCGTCTGCTTTCAGATATATATTTCAACTTGAGGAAGTTAAGGGGCCAAACGATAAATATTTTATGCATTAGATCTAGCTATTTCCTAGTCTGTTACGAGAAACTGCTGAATTGCTGGGTGATTCATTGTGAAAAACAAAATGCTTGCCTACATTGTCTTTTTTACATACCTCATATATTTATTTTACGTTTCCAGATATTTTAATCTCTACTGAAGTTAGAAACTGATTCAGATTTAGAATTGTTCACAGTGCCAGAACTTATTATACAGTAAGGCTTTTTAATCTGTTTATTTCTATAAAATGAAATAAACTCATAATCATGAAATAAATTACTGTATTTTATGGCAATTTTTTAAATGTTTTCTGTCGTGTTCTATGATAAACCCTATTAAAAATATTGAAATACGTAAGCTACAGTACAAAGCATTCATAACTTCAGATTCTCACCATTTTCCCACATTTCTTTTTATTTTGCTAGTCTTTCATTGCAGAACACGGTGAAAGTTGTAGGCAAGAAGTTTGATTTTTTACAGCGTATCCCAAAACTGCATGTTATATTCTACCGAGTATATAAAATGTTTCCACTGTATCATATGTATGCAATTTTATCGATAATCAAACTATAGATAATCATATAACCACTATATGGTAACGATTTATGCAGCAAGTGAGAAATCTATTAAGTACTTCAGAATGGGAAGGCAATGGATTAAAAAAAAGAGGTGAACTACAGTAAAAAGTGAGTATTTCGGGCCGTTGTGTATTTTCACAGATTTTCGGGAATGTTATTTATTGTATAGAGAAATTGTAAAATTCTTTTTCACAGAAAATCCGTAAATTTTTTATAATTACAATTTTTGACGAATCGTACTATTTCTATCAAAAATTCTAGTATAATATTATAAACCCTTTTGGGGGGGTTTCACCATTTTCCCACATTTCTTTTTAATTTGCTAGTCTTTCATTGCAGAACACGGTGAAAGTTGTAGGCAAGAAGTTTGATTTTTTACAGCGTATCCCAAAACTGCATGTTTTTTTTTGGGGGGGGAGTTATTGATTTTCTTTCTTAGTTTTCGTTGTATCAGGTTTCAGTGGCTTTTCTTTTTTTCTCCTAGCCCACCAGCGGCCGAGCGGTAAAGACGCTGAACACTGGTAGTTCGGTCTGAGGTTCGAATCCCGCGAACGGGCTGGCTGCATGGGCGTTTTCGTGGTTTTCCCCATGTGTAACGTGTATACGAGCCAGTTTCCCTTAGAAAGTCCTCCACGAAAGGCATCCCTCCCTTTAGGCAGATAGCCCTCGTGTGCTTTGCCATAATTAAATACACCAACCACCACACCTTTTTTCTCCACCTACAGGACAGCCGGTCCACTTGGGAAAAGTGTTTCTTCTAAATTTATCTGTAACTTCATTAAAAGAAAATAAGAATTATCAGCATTTAAGGTTATTATGCATCTGTATTCCAAGCCACTGTAAGAATGTGATTGAAAATGTTACAATTTGTTTTCAATCATGAAGTGAAGCGTGGTAAATAGCTTCTATTCTTTCCAGCTGTAAGTTTCAGCAACACATTTTTAAGCTTAAAAATGTAATTTCACGCTACTAAGTTTATGATAATATGGTAAAAAAAAACATACGTGAATTATGGTTTTTACGAATTTACTGAGCCGCCGCTTCCTTTCTAAATTTCTGTATTTTCCATGGAAAAAAAAAAAAAAAGTGCGTAGATTTATCATTCAATATAATATCCAGATATTTTCCTAAATCATATATCGACGTTAGAAAACTATTTTAAATTTCAAAATTAAGCTATAACATTTATTTTTGGTAAAAAACGTTTTTGTTACCATTTCTCAGACTGCACGATGTCCATAAAAAATACACAATTTCATATTGTTTTCATGAAAAACTGTAGAAGTTAATAAACAATTCATCCTTTCCTGCACAAACAAAAATAGCAAATGTTTTTTTTTTTTTTTTTTTTTTTTTTTTTTTTTTTTTTTTTGTCTGATGATGTATATTATTCTGTCTGATGTCACAAAATGTACCAAGCACTGAAAACAAGAGTAATGGTGGAATAGATAAGACAAGCAGTTTGCAGTCATGTGGTAGCTGGACAGACTTGTCAACATGTGTAATTTTTTCTTTGTGGCTTAATTAAAAAGCTTTTTTTCCCAAAATAAAGGTAAAGTCTTCATTTAGTTAAAAACACTCCTTTATGTAACAGCTGACGTTCCGCAGATTGCATGGATGAAAGCAGGCCTTCATTTAAATCAAGCCTAGACAAACGTTCTGCCCAAAAGACCACATTAGGGTTAAAAAAAAAAAAAAAAAAGCGAACTGCAGATAAAATAGATATGGTTTAGATACAACTTATTTTATCAGGAAAAGTTAAATTTAACATCTGATAACCAACAATTTAATGAAATGAATTATGCTGTTTTAAATCGTTCTTCATTTTCTGCCTTTTCAAATTTCAGGAGTTAATTTTGTATCGGAGGTTCCCAAAAGTTCTTCTAAATGGTTATCGGTAATGTTTGGCAATAAAACGTTTTTATTCCGGTTAATGCGAGAAAATTAGATTGATACAAATTCACTAGCAAAACCCTTAAGTGTATCGAATTCGCTTAACTTAAGATTATTGTAAAATTTGCAGGTTACTTCACGACTTGAAGTCAGTGCCATAATGCAGATTTATATTATCAAGCTAAAGCTCTTTTTATTATTATCAATTTCTGTTTAAAATGGATCACAAATTATAGCCGAACATGTTTCAGCTTCTCTAAAGTGTCCAACTCTCGCTAATGAAGAATGATCTACCATCTACGGAACTCTGTTTTGGTATGAAAAACTCTAAAAAAAATCACAAGATTGTGCATTCAAAATGTACTACAGATTCAAATTTATTATATTTAAAAGAGGCATTAAAAGACAGAAAAAGTAAACTTATTATGATTATTGCCCCCCAGGACGTAATTTTCCAGGACATGGTTTAGATGATAACTTTCAAACGAATTTTCATATCGTCAATCGGTGGACATTGATTATAGATCTAGGGCTGCAGAATATCGAGAGCTGCGTTACGAGTCCGAGGAGCGGTAAGAGGATATTGAGAAGTAAATGAGCAATAACAACTTTCAAAATTTCGCTACCTAAACATTCTTGGAGCAAACATTTAAACATTATCTTGATTATATAAATTTTACATTCATGCATCCTTTCAAGAATCACACAAATCATATCAATCGATACTTTGTACAAAGTGGCCCAAGTAATATGTAAGTTCGTTTCGTTTTTTGGATGGGGCGCAAGTTACAAACTATCAGCCTAACATTTTAAAACCATAACCGCAAGCTCATACTTGCAGTGATGCATACATTCAAGTGGCATATTCTTTCAGTACACGCAGTTGTGCGTGTTTTTTCAGCCTCCTCTAATACATACCATTGTACGTGTTTTCTCGGGGTCTTTCGATGCACATTAAGTGCGTGTTTTCTGAGGCTTGCTTTAAATAGTTTGAGCTGTCTTTAATCGTTTCTATTTTGAAATTACGAAGTATTGCGCATTGAGTTTTAATTAATAATTTGATCACGTGGAAATATAATAAATATCCAAATATTTCAATTAATATATAATTAGAGTCTATGGATCACATTCAGAGGACTTCTAATCAGTGTTGCCGGAAAATTTTCAACTAAAGTAGAAAAAGTAGACTCAAAAAGTCGCAAAAGACGTCAGAGATCACGTGATTTTTGTGACGCCATAGTGTCGCAGGCTCACATGACCTCTGACGCCATCAAAAATTTACCGTCTATTGGTTCTGTAAGTTACAGACTGTATTCAATTTAGTCTTTTTAACTACATATCTTAGCTTTAACGAAAATTTTAAAACTATATTGCTCATTTTCAGTTGTTTAAATATCCATTTCTTTTTTAATTAATTCTCATTTAATTGAGGTTTCAATTTTTAAATTAATTTGCAGATATCCATTCTTAAGAGATTCCTCATGCTTAGACTGTTAGCTCTTTTGCATTAAATTTTTTGAGTTGGCAGTTAATTTTTTTAATTCATTGTTTTTATTTGCTTAATTGTGAACATTTTAATTCAGGAATGCTTTTCAAAGAGTTTTCCGTTCTGTGCGGTGGATCTGTTTCAGATTCTGATTACTTAAGAAAGCCAAGTTCTTTCATTGTTAAATTTATTTTTGTTGTTATTTAGAAAAATGCCATTGCTTTGATTTTGAAGTCATTTCCATTCTTAGTTCTTGGCAATATTATAATCAGGAGTATGAATTAAATTTATTTTTCTGTTTGGGTACCCAATATATGGCGCGCAAGCTGCAAGTTCTTTGGTTCGATTCATTATCACCTTAGAACTGAGGGGGGGGGCGGAACTGACTTAAAAACAAAATGAACGGGGGACGAGGGAGGGTAGTGAAGAGGTCCCGAAGCATTTTTTCCCTCATTTTCCTTTTTTCACTTCCCTTACCCCTTTCTCGTTATAGCGGCATCAGGCTGTGCAGCCTTGAAAAGGAAACCTGACGTCTAAATAAGGTTGCCAGCTGTCAACTTCTAATTAAGCCTAAATAAACTATTTTTAATATAAATTATATTTCATTGATAAATTATTTTAAAATGAAAGCATTTTACGATATATTAAAAAAATCTTTGAAGTCGCAAAAAATAGTATAAGAAAATGATGGATGTCGCAAAAATTTCGCAAAATCGCAAATACTAAAATTTTAGTAGCACAAGTTTAT